CGAACTGATCCAAAAGAGAATCTGTTCCAATGAGTCAAAGTCCTTGACATGTTGTGAAGTTTTGTTGCCAGGTCAGAAACCGACGTAGCTGGACCATCGCCATTCCATGCTGTCTCCACGAATCCTCTGAACCGATCATCCTGCTCCCAAGCACACTCATATCTGAACGGCCTTTTCAAGCCAAGGCGTATGTTTCCTTCCTCAAGTTCATTTATAAGGAGAATAGGACTATGGTCACTCTTTACCGCGGTCAGATGCTCAACGCTCGCAAAGGGGAACATATTCGACCAATTAGGCGAAGCAGGAGTTCTGTCGAGATGTACTCTGCAGAATTCACCTCCCGTCACCTTTTTCTCTCATGTCCAGTCTAGCCCTTTATACCCAAGATCGGCAAGGCCGCAAACATCAACTGCATCTCTGAACCCTTCGATTTGTGCACTGTCACGTGTGTTGGAACCCATCTGCTCCTCCTGTCGCAAGATTTCATTAAAATCCCCGATGCATAACCACGGTAGAGTGCTTTCACCTCTCAACCTTTTCATAGTATCCAAAGTTTTGTACCTCAAACTTCGATTAGCCTCCCCATAGAAGCAGGTAAGGCACCATTGCTCTCCACCTAGCTCCGAGACCCAAGAATCAATGTGATACTGGGAACATTTTTTTATTACCAAATTAACTTCCGTCTTCCAGAAAATACATAAACCACCACTACGCCCACTACTAGCAACTGCGAAACTATTCTGAAAACCCAAAGATGCCGCCAAAACTTCCACTCGATTCTTCGCAATTTGAGTCTCAACAATGCAAAGAACTGACGGCGCACTGGCCCCCACGAGATCGCGGAGCTCATGTACCGTCGCTGGGTCGCCAATCCCGCGACAGTTCCAGCACAAAGTTCTCATCTGGCCCCGCGGCCCTCCTCGATGGAGGCCGCCTCACTTGTTTGAACCACTGCATCATCTTCTACTCCATCTTGACGCCTTCTCTTCACAACGGGGTCCTTCTCCGGAGTGGATACCACAGCATTTGAACTTGTCGCTGGAGTAACGCCTTCAATCATCATCACAGTCCCGGCAACCCGGCCAGCCAAATGGTTAAGCTGTTGCCCACGAACATTCAGAGTGCCGTCCGCATCGACCAGCCTCTTCCTCGCTCCCCTATCCACTCTTCCTCCTGTGCCATCTCCCTGCAGCTCCACCTCCATCTGCTGCACTCCAAATGGCGGCACCCCTGCTCCAGGGTCTGCTCTCCCCCTACCCCCCATCGAACCTCTTCCACCTCTACCCCCTCTATCTCCTCTTCCTGCATCCCTCCCTCTCCCTCTACCACCTCCCTCTCCTCTGCCTCGCCCCCCTCCGCCCTGAACTACTGGTACCTCCGGCTCCCACAGTAACCAGTCGCCCCACTGGAAAGAGTTCGGATCGTGTATACCATCACCACACTCATCTGCAACATGACCCATTTTACCACAAGCAAAGCAAAAGTCTGGTAGCTTCTCATAGTACACACTGTATCTTCTATACTCCTTAAGTGTTATTGGCACAAATCGGACAAGCGGAATATTGACATCCACATAAACCCTCACACGGAGGGTGCTTGCTGGATTGATTCTCCCCTCGTTTATGATCACGGTGAAGGGTGGATCGCCAACCTTCGCTGTAACCTTCTCCGCTAATTCTTTCTTCCTCGTGAGACCATCCGGCAACCCCTTCACTCTTGCCCAAACTGGAATTTTATTCAGGCTGTAACCTTTGACATATGAAAATCCATCGTACTCCTGGATCACTACCGGTGCCCTTCTAAACAGCCATGGCCCTCCATCCATGATCCTTCTCCAGTCCCCCAAGCAGTGGCACTGAACCAGAAACAAGTTAGGCCCTTTGATGTTGAACGTCACCCCCTGTGCTGCCGACCATGCATTACGCATCTGAGTCAAGAGCGCGGCATGACTAAAGGGTTTCGTGGTGTGGACTCGGAACAGGCCAAGCCAGCGAACATCCTTGATCAAATCTTCAACTTCCGCCGAAAAATCCAGCTCTTCCTCCTCCCTTCCATGCAGTGTCATCCCCGCGAACTGGTCCTCCAGATCAGGGTCGGGGCCGAGGTAATCCCCGAACTCCTCTTCATCTTCTTTAGATTGGTTCCGAACGTCCTGCGGGCTATAGCCAAATCCTTCCCTACGCCTGTTTTCCTCCCCTTCCCCTTCCTTTGTTGCTCCCGAACCACTCGGCCTCCCTGCCGCCGGCATAGCTGCCGCCTTCTCCATCTGTCCCTCCTTACCCCCTAACACCTGTTGCAATGGATCCGCCATGCACTCGCACGCGCGTAGCGGCAGAGGGTGGATCTCACCCGCGGCCGGGGCAAACCGATCCGCCGATGAGATTTTACGTGGACTCCGGTGCGTAGTCGCCGGAGGATAGGTGGAACCCTAGAAACCCTAGAGGATTCTTTTAGGTTGACGCGCCAGCTGGTAAACTGGCGCTCACGCGCCCTCTCGCGTGGGCCGGCCCATCAAGCAACGTGCTTCTGGCGCCGGTTATAGCTGTTTCCGCAAACCGGCGCCTGCAGCGGCGCAACCTGGGCTCGGCCCAACTTCCACTATTCCTGTTTTTTAAACTCTATGTAAACTGCAAAAAAGCCGCGCAAACTAGAATTCGAACCTGCGTCGCGGGTCATCAGGTATCAAGGTATAACCAACTCGACCACTTCACCAGATGTGGTAGCATACATGTTTTCATCCCTTTATTTGTTCTTCTTTTCCCTTTTTCTTTTCCTTTTGCTTTTTTCTCTATCCTTTTTTACTTTCTTTTTTCGAAATTCGTAATTGTTTTCTTCAAATAGATGAAATTATTTCTCTAAATCCATGAACTGATTTTTTTTAAACTCATGAACTTTTTTCAAATTGATGAACAATTTTCAGAATAGGGGAACTTATTTTTCAAATTTATGAACTTTTTACAATTTTCTGATCTTTTTCTTAAAATTGATGAACTTTTTCTCAAAATCGATGAACTTTTTTCAATTTACATGAACTTGTTTTCAAAATCGATGAACTTTTTTCAATCTAGGTGAACTTTTTTCAAATTCGATGAACATCTTTCAAATTGATGAACTTTTTTTTTCAAAATTGATGAACTTCTTTTGAATCCGGGAACTGTTTTTGAATACATGAACTTTTTCGAGTTGGTGAACTACTTTTTGAATATGCGAACTTTTTTTGCATGCTCATGAACTCCATTTGTAATATGTGAAGATATTTTAAAATAATTGGAAAATATAAACGCTACAGTGTAACGCGCAATAAATAACGTGTCTACATTTCTATTCTTTAAGGATGTCGCGCTGGTAATAGGCAACAGTAGTGAGCTGGTGCGGTGGCTAGTGGCTAGTCTCTCCGTGTTTAAGCGTGAGGTCGCGAGATCGAATCGGAGTCCGGAGGTATTTTTGCCGGTCATTTTTTCGCGTTGCTTGTTGCGTGATAGTGGGCCGGCCCATCCAGCGGCTGCTGCGGGCGCCACTTTTCTTGCGGGGCGCTGAAGGCGCGGTATAGGAGCTCCCCGATTGGCGTGCGTTTGTGGGACCTCAGTTGGGCTAAGAAGTTGAGTGGGTTGAGGCATGGGGTTGGGGGGATGGGTTAGCACGCCTATTGTTGGGCCTCTATAAGGCTACAAATCTGACAAATAATCATATTAGATGTATAGCACTAATCGGGCCACGCCTGGGGCTATAGCCCCAGCTGCCCCAGGCCCAATTCCGCCACCGCGTGGGGGGTCTTGATCAAGGCATTCCCTAAACGGCGCCCGTTGCGCACGTTACAGGCATGGGCGCAAACGGGCGCACACCCCCCGCGGTGCACTGGGCCGGCCCATTATGTGTTTTTATTTTTTGTCTTAATCCGCAAAAAAGGGCGCTACCAGGATTTGAACCACCTACCTCCATGTCAAGGACAGCTAGTTCAACCACGCGAGCACAGGGCAGGATATGGTTACACTTTAGTTTTTTCGTCTACTATTCGTTCTTCTTCCTTTTCCCTTTTTTGTTTTCTTTTTAAATTACACGACCACGTGTTTTTCTTTTTTCTTTTTTTCTGTTGTTCTTTCTTTTTGCCTTCTCTTTTTCTTTTTCCTTTTTCTGTCTTTTTCAAAATCGACGAACTTTTTTTCAATTTTATGAACTTTCTTTCAAATTCGATGAAGTTTTCTTTAAAATCGATGAACTTTTTTCATATTCGGTGAACTTTTTACAAAATCGATGAACTTTTCTCACCAAATTCCATGAACTTTTTCCAAAATTGATGATTTTTTTTTTCAAATTCAATGCACTTTTTTCGAACTTTTTAAAATTTGATGAACTACTTTCGAATTGCATGAACTCTTTTCAATATCCAAAATATATTCAGATTTTTCGAAATTCGTTTGAATTTTCAGAAAATGTTTTTCGAAATTCAAAATTTTGTTCATGTTTTCGAATTTTGTTCACGTTTCAAAAATAGTTCTAAATTCCAAATTTTTGTTAACCGTATTGAAGAAAAATGTTCACCATACATTGAAAAAATGTTCAGTGTATATAAAAAAATGTTAATCATGTATAGAAATTTTGTTCAACATGTGTTCAAAAGGAGTTCATCGTATTTAAAAAAAAGTTGCCTGTACCGGCGCTTAATGCGCCGTATAGGAGCTCACCTTGATCAATTCGTATATTAAGCTAGAGGCATGTGATTTTATTATCCCATTGCAACGCATGGACATGTGTGCTAGTAAAGGCCTAAACAAAGTGACAATCCAGAAAAAAGATTCAAAGTCCTATTCGGACTGCAACTGCGGCACACGTTAATTATATGGTATATATATATATGGGAATCTCAAAATGGAAAATCCGATCGCAATCCGAGTCGAACTCCCGTACAAACGGGAGCCTCTACCAGCCTATATATAGGCCCAGCGACTCCCGCCTCAGCGCATCCAGATTCCAGAATCGATCGATCGCAACTCTCAGCTGCCATGGCGAGGTTGCGTCGCGTGCGGCCGCGCAGGGCCAGCGAAGAGGACCGCCTCAGCGCGCTCCCCGACAGGCTGATCCGCCGCATACTCAGCAAGCTGGACACCCGCAGCGCGCTCTCCACGGCCGTCCTCGCCAGGCGCTGGGCGCTTGTCCCCCGCGACCTTCCGGCGTACGACTTCAGGGTCAGCGACGTACTCCCGCCGCAGTACGACCGGACCGTCGCCCTCCGCCGTCGCAACCTGCCGCGCGACGCGGCCCTGGCCAGGGTCCTCGACGGCCTCATGGCCAGCTGCGAGGTCTCCACCATGCGGGCGTTCGTGGACGGCATCACCGGCTTCTTGGACGCGGACGGCGGCGCCGCACGCCGGTGTGTCAAGACACTCCGTCTCGAGTTCTTCCAGACACACGACGGCGGCTGCATAGCAGACCGCCTCATTGCCGACGCGGTCGACCGTTGGGGAGTCGAAGACCTGGAGGTGGTCGTCAGGCCAGCGTCCCACGCGCCCGCGCCGGCCTACAGCTTCCCCCACGGCCGTTTCAAGGACGGCGGCAGGTCGCGCCTCCGCAGCCTGACGCTGGGCAACTGCACGGTCCCGCCGAAGCTGCACTGCTACGACGCGCTCACCACGCTGGTCCTGCGAGACATGCCCGCTTCCACGCCCGTCGCCGTGTACGAGAGGGTCTTGAGCGAGTGCAAGCGGCTGCAGGTGCTGCACCTCACGTCCTGCCGCTGCGCCGAGGACCGTCTGGTGGTTTGCTCAGGCATCAGGGAGCTCGTCGTGGACGCGTGCTCCTTCATGGTGATCGAGCTGCGGGACCTCCCGATGCTTGCCCGCCTGGCCTGCCTAACCAACACCGTGGAGCTCGTGTTCGGCTCGGTTCCGTGCCTCACGCACACTAACCTCTCCTTCTCCGTAGAGGAGGATACGTTGGTTCTGCCGCCCCGGCCGCACCACCACGATGAGCTCAACCATTTCCTGGGTACGTCGCCAACCATGGCGAACCTCGTCATCCGGTTCACCGGCTCCAAGAGATGGATTGGATCCGAGGAACTAGACAAGCCTTTGGTCCACCTGAAAAGGCTCCTTATCGCCGACCTGCCTTCCAACTGGGACGTCTCATGGACGCACACCTTCCTGGTGGAGGCGCCATCGCTCGAGGTCCTGCACATCCATGTGGCTCACTCGGAGGAGGTTCCAGAGTCGTTCGGGATAATATGGTCGACGGCGAGCCCTACACAATGCCACCCTCACATGAAGGAGCTGGTCTTGATCGGATTTACGCTCACCCGACGCCAAATGCAGCTTTTGAAGTACCTCGTGAGCACTTGCACGTCCTTGCAACGCCTTGTTCTTCTCAAGGATGGCTATGTTCGATACGACAGACTCTGGGATTGGGACATGGTCGGGGGACAACAAGAATGCCAGTGGACAGATCATGATAAAAGGGCCTTGAGAAGGATGATCAAGTCTGGGCCCAGGCCTCTCCTTCAACTCATCTTGGCGTGATCAATCTTTGTATGATCTTGTTCGTCCTTATAAATAGTTGTTGCTTCAGCCTAGCTAGAGGGCTCGATTGAGTTACCAAAAGTGCGCTCTATGTAAAACATGTTTCAAACTCATGTGCACTGTTGAGTTCTCTAAAAGGAAAAGGATCTTGCATATAAATATGTCCTTGCATGTTTCATGACGTTGTCTGGTTTGACTTCCCTTCAAGGGAGTGACTAACAATCAGACATCTGATTCTAATTTGGGCTTAGGTCGTTTGTTTTGTCCAATGGTGTGCTGACACCTGTCATGATTCTAATTAGTCCTGCTGCCTCAAAAAATCCGACCGATTCTTCCTCCCGTCAGAGAATCTCCAACAGCCGCGCTAAACTAGCGCCGCGCCGCAAATTACTCCGTTTTAGCGCGCGCGCAACGCGGCGGGTCGCTTCAGCGGGCGCGCAAAAACGGCACGCGCGCTATAACTAGTTGGGCGCGCGGTCGAGAACACTATCCCGTGCGGTGTATTTCAGGCGCCCGCTACAGCGGGCGGCACAGTCGAGCGCTCGCACCACACTCTCTCCTCTCCTCCTCCTACGCCCCGTGCGCACCGGCGCCGGCGCCCTGCCACCCACCCATGGACGCGCACACCGG